TCTTTTTATTTCAGATTTCTAGCATCTACTCATATTGCTTCTGTAGTACATAAACCTGAGTTGTATTACCTGGAATTTAGAAAATTAAAAGGTGATTTTATTGGCGTTATGAATGCATTAAGTGCTGGCTGGGAAGTCTAGGACGAAAGGCACAATATGGAAGTTAAAGCCAGACCTTTCAGAAGTGAAATTAGAAAATATTTCTATACAAAGGGTGGCAGAAGTCTGGAACTCCCTTTCACAACTAGCAACTGATACAAGATCAAATGTAGCTTGAAATCGGAAACTGATCCGCTTTTGTGAACCAAAGGTGGATTTGTATGGCTGATCAGCAATGATTGCATTGAATTGTATAACATGCTTGAAGGCTAAATGAACTTCTGTTCTTATGTTCCTAAAATGATGGCCATTTCTTCAAATCCAGAAGCGGCACACTTTCCTGGTGGGTGAAACTCAACTTCAACGGAATGGAGTGCCAATTGACTCTTACACAATAGAATAACCTCTTCACAGAAGGGGCAGTGGTAAGATACCTTAAGTTATGTTTAAACATGCAGTAACAACGGTTTCTACTTACACAAGCAGTATAGTTTCACTTTGTGGAAATATAGGAAGTTGTCCACTTTTGCAGGAAAAATAGAAAAACAACATCTTTTAAGTGAAGAAAAACTACTGAATTCTAAAATGTGAAGGTATCTGGGTGTCCTCATACATGCACCACAAATAGTTAGTATGCAGGTACAACAATTTACTAGGAAAGCAAATGGGAAATTGTCATTTATTGCAAGGGGAATAGAAAATAAAAACAGATATGCTTTGATACAGTTGTATGGAAAATTGATGAAGCCCACATCTGGAGTACTATGTATAGTTTTGATTGCTTAATTAAAAGATGTAAACGCATTAGTGGCAATTCCAAAAAGGTTCTCATTACCAATAGCTGGGATTAGGGATGGGGCGACTATCTTCTGAGGAATGGTTTAAACAGGCTGGGCCTGTAACCATTTGAGTTTACATGAATAACAGGTGATTTTTAACATCTTGAAGGGACTTTACTGTATGAATGCTGAAAGGAAGTTTCCCCTTGTGGATAGGTTAAAATTAGAGCACGTAGACAGGACTGAATGTGCATCATTGAATATTTTTAAGGCAGGGGTTGATTAATTCTTGACTAGTGAGGGAGTCAGTAGTTATCATGGGTAGGCATGTATGTAGAGTTGAGGCCACAATCAGATCACCCACGACCTTGTTGAATGATGGGGCATATTTGAGGGTCCCAACAGCTCCTAATTCAAATGTTTGAACTTTGCCTTCCAGGCGTAAAACCTGTATTTCAGATCATTTTCCCATTGAAATAGACTCATGTCGCTTCTATAAAAGATAGCACTTATACAACAATGCCAAGGGTCAGTTGAAAATCCAGCCACTTTCCCCATATCATGCAAGTTTAGACAACATTTTATTAGGCCACTAGATGGAGTAATTCTTGGACCACTGCTGTAGTTCAATTCTTCACAGCACAGAGAGCAAAATGAGGTTTTTGTTAACAGTTTACAGAATGTTCCAGCGTTCATAGCCTACAACCAAGAGAGATACAGATAGGGGAGATCATTTTAACTCACTAGTTCAGTGTTTAAAAAAAACTCATTTTCCCCTGTTATATTAAATTGTCTCTTTAAAGAACAAGTTTTTGTTATGACTATCACAACTTGTTGAAGGGACTACTTTAAACATCGATGTTCAGTGCAAATTAGGCTGTCACACAAATAAAATTGCTAGTGATTTACCTAGTGACATTCCGTTTCCTTCTTGCAATCATCTGTTTTAAACTGTTTTCTGAGCAGGTATGAAGAATAACTTCCTACCAGTCTTACTTTAAAATACAAAAATTAGTTTCTGATAAAATCATTGGGGGCTGACTACAAGTTTAACCAGCAGCTTGTGTGGGGAAACCATTGTAGCTAATCTAGTAGGAAGAAGATTAGCAGAGGACCAAACAAGGATGTTTAAAAAAAAAGTTTAAAAAAAAATTTTCGTTGTGGGCTCAGGAGGAGTAGGATTTTCTGAAAAGGGAAGATTGAATCTCCCGTGCCCAATATTCATCAATCGCCAACACAGGCCTCCTGCTTTCCAGCCAGCTGCTATTTCCCACTGACTTCAGACAAGTATTGATAGAACATGGTAGTTATGACTGTACGTTTCAATCATTTGCTCTTTTTTCTGCCAGGCTCAAAAAGTTCACCACATGAATTTATCTCTACCTACCCAATTCCCACTCTGAATTAAAAGTGTTAGTGCTTCCATAAATACGTCTTTCTAACAGTTTGAAACATTCGTGGCTGAGGTATGAAGCACAATTATATGCTATTCGGATGCCAGTAGGATTCTTTACCCTATATTTAGTGGTCATGATCATTACACACTTTTATAAAGAACAATTCATTGGCCTCTTTCTTTTCCACATTTAAATATCAGCAGTAGTTAAATGAAACATTTTTGCTTTCTTCCTGGACTACTTTGAAATAGTGCCATGGACTGTTTTACATCTATCCAAGCAAATAGATGGCACCTTCAACTGTGGAGCATTCTATCAGTGCCACACTGGAGAGTCAGCCATGATTTTTGCACTCAAGTTCAGAGCAAGCCTTGAACCTGGAACTTTGTGACTCAAACACTCAAAGTGTTACCCAGTGAACCATAGCATGATGATTGGAACATTTTCCAATTTTGCAATGAATCAATGTTAGCTACTCCCATCATGGATTGTGGAGAGAGTAAACTATCATTCATCAGCGAATCCTACAAGAGCAGCTCTATTCCATTCACATGTTATTTTTGTTTCCTATACCAATTTTCTTTATCATCTGTTCAAAACAAACAATGGAAGGGATTTGTAAGGCATTGTGGGTCACAAGAAAACATCAATGAACACAGAATAGTTATCAGTAGATTCGATACAGACTGTTGTAGGGGCCCTTTTCAAAAAGGGTGGCAACTGCACACTCATTTACTTTGGCTCGATACCAAATAAATCAATTTGCATTAAGTTTGAAGATGAGTAAGTCTACAAATAACAATCAGGATTTAGAATGGAAGAGCCTGTCTGATAATCTTCTTGAATGATTTCCAGAGACTGATAATCTAACTAGACAATGCACTGTCCTATAAGGTGTTTCTCATTTTCTAAAAAGAAATTAGGGAGGTTTGATAAGAAAGGTTACTGGTTAAGTTTAAAATATTGGGAATTCAGGATAAATTTGGAAATATATTTTTAAAAACTGTGGTCAATAGTTAACGAGTTTTGTAGCAAAATGGGAAAGCTGTGAACAGGTGAAGGAATTAACATTGGGATATCTATCACTTCTATTTTCTATCAATAACTTGGAAACAGAAACACGATATATGTTGGACAAATCTTCCTGATACCAATACAGAATGGACAAATTTGGAACTGGATAAAATATAAATTGCCAACAAATGTACATTATGATATATAAAATGGATAAATGGGCAATTTGAGGATTCATGAATGGCATTGAAATAACTAGAGATGTTATTGAATTACTATTGGTATTATTAATTCTGTGCTTATTATTAATATCTATTTGTCCTGAGAAGCCTGTGGTGGTCTTCCTTGAACAAATGTCCTTCTTGTGATAATGAGGGTCCACAATGATGTTAGCAAGGGAATGCCATGTGCCCCAGCAATGATGAAAGAATAGTAGTACCAAGACAAATCAGGAAACTAAATCTAAAGATGGTGAATGATATAGCCAAAATAGTGGAGTGCAAATCTGAAAAAGACAAGCTCAAAATATAAGAGATAACAAGGTGTAGAGCTGGATGAACACAGCAGGCCAAGCAGCATCATAGGAGCAGGAAGGCTGATGTTTCGGGCCTAGACCCTTCTTCAAGCTCAAAATATACATTGTTCTGATCAGACTACACCATGAATAATTTCTGGCCACCCTGTCAACAAGGCAGACATGCAGATACTGCTGCTTTTGTCATCTCAGATCCAGTCTGCTGCTCCCTTAACATCTTTGCATTCTCCACCCTCTAGAAACTTCCGCACATCCAAAGCATTCCTGCCATTTTCCTATCCTATTCCATGTATCATTCACCCAGCACCCCTATCCTTGAGAGCTACAATATCTCTCAACACCTTAAATTTAAAACTGTTATTTTCATACTTAAATCTCTTTGTGGCCTCAACTTGCATCATCTTCATAGCCTTATCAAGCCCTATAACCTCCCCCTAAACACACACTTAACTCTGATCTCTGGTGCACCCCCTTTCCTTCCTTCACTACTGGTGGTCAAGTTTCCATGGTATATTTTATTCTCCACCAACTCTGTTCCTGTTCTTTGAATAAGGTTTGGATAATTCCTTCTAAAATTCCCTTCCTCATCTCTCTGTTCACTTCTTGCTGATTCAGCTTTTGTGAAGCACTCAGATCAAGACTTTAATAAACGTTATCATTGTGGAATGTAATACAAGAACCATGCCACAGAGGAATCAGGCATGCAGAGCAATTGGAGAAATATGGACTGTTAGAAAAGCATCATTTCAGTGGTGACCTAGATATTCGAACATAGCTTTAAACAAAAAATTGTGACAATGAGCTGATCTGGTCCGATTCAGGGAGTTTGATTTTGCTTTAAATAAGTTGCCTGTTCGCGAACGTTTTACTGAGAATGCAACAGAACTATGTTGAATGGATTTACAATCCGTCGCGTTTTAGTTTGTAAATAAAAGCACACATCATGATTAAACTAAGAGGCGGAGCGAAGAACACGCCTATTAAAGATGATTTCTGTGGTGGGGCAATAGGAGAGGAAAGGTAACCAGGTTTGAAGAGTTTTACGAACAGTTGCATTTTCATATAATTGAGCTCCTCAATGAACAGTTTATTTCAGCGAATCAATGAGTCGGCCTAATCTAATTATAAGTTATTAAGAGTGTGGCCTTGGGCTCGGGCCAAAGGAAGGACGTTTGTGTGTCAATTTAACGAATGGAAGGGATTCTCTGAGTCAGGGCGGTGAACTTGTCTGACAGTATGAGCCTTCCCTGACGCACTGCGGCCCCGGCCCAGCCTTTTCCCTAGACTCCAGGCTAAGGCCCGCCCTCGTCTCTTCCAAGCCCAGGTTCTTTCCCCCCCATTCTAACTTCCACCCCTCTGTCCCTTGTTCCTTGTTCCTCCCTCCTCCCTCTTTCTCTTTTATCCAACCCCTGCCCCCGGCCCTCACCTGTCCACCCCCTTTATAGTCCGCCTCCAGCCGCCCCTTTCCGCTCCCGGCAGGAGGTGGCGGCTGACGCGTTTCCTGCCGCAGCCCTGGGCTTGGTGAGCCGTCGGAGCCGGGGCGGCCATTTTCACCCGGACACCCCCCTTCTCCTCCTCCTCTCCACCCACTCCCCTCCCCAAATCTTCCCTTACCCCACCCTCCCTTCTTCACCTACCTACCTACCTACTTACCTCCAACCCGGCGGCCTCTGACCTCCTTCACTCCCCTCCCCTCCCCGTGGTCTCCATGTTAGAGGCTGAGGAGCGGCGTCCGAAACGTCCTGTCTCTCCCGTCTGGAGCCGGGAAGCTGTGCGGCGGCGCCGGCGGCGCCAACTGCTGTGGTCGCTGAAGCCGGGCCTTGTTATTTGAGGCTGAGGGAAGCGAGTGGTGGGACTGCAGCAGCTGCTCGCTTCTTCTTCTCCTCCTCTGGGGCTGGGGTGGAATCGGGCAGTCGAGTGTTTAACAGCTCCGCAATCGACAGCGCTTGGAAACCACTGCATTTGAGTATCTCTTTGCACGTTATCTAGATTTTTTTTTGGGGGGGGGGGGAAGATGTGGACGCACCGAAAGGATATTCGGCTTTACTAGGCGTGTGTTTGGTAAACGGCTGCTGGATGTCACCGGGTACAGTCCGTCGGGCCGACTTCAGCTGAAGCCCATCGCCTCTGAACATTTCGCACTCATGTCCTGTTGAACCGAGTCTTCTGCAATTATTTGGGCAACGGTGCTAAATTGAAACCAGGAGGGGCAAATAATAAAAAAAACAAAATGTCTACTCGAACGCCATTACCTACAGTGAATGAACGTGAAACAGAGCATGTAAGTCATCTTTACTGGGGTACAAAAGACCCCGGAAAAGGGAGCACAGGCTTATCGTACACCCAACGTATTTGTTTGAAGGACTAAGTGTCCAACTTGGCCTTGGTCAGCGAATGAACTTGGACCATGGTTTGGAAACGAATTGCCAGTGAACTGGAATAAATGTTGAGTTGGGTTCTTTTGTAAAGCTTCTCTGCAAGTTTTGCGTGTTCACTGTTAAGTAGTTAGCATGTTCCTGATGCTTTTTTAAATTTAGTCTTGCTGTGCACCTATGCTGCTTCCTTTTTTCATCTCAATCCGTGTCAACACGGCGTGAGGAAGCCGACAGGTGTCGGGACGCATCACGGAGGTGTTAGATTTGACCGAATTGGTTTTCAAATGAGCCGCTAGGTCATGTTTATAGAATTGACAGTCCAAAAAGGAACAAATATATTTAAAATTTGGTCCCGTCGTTATGTTTTTAGAATACATTGTATTTGTGAGGGCCGTACAAAAGTTGAGCTAATCGTTTAAAGCCCTACAGTTGTTACTAGCTTTAATCTTTTAAGATGGTTAGCATGCCTCTTGCAAGATCAGAAGGTGTCATGAATTGTACACTTTGTGTATCGCCTTAGAATTAAAAATGATCGCATCATTACGCAGCTGGAAGTTTTTCTAAACAAATTCTACTAATAGTTGAAAATATACTTAGGATTATGGGGGACATTAAATATGTTGGTTCCGAAGCTAGCATAAAACCTTTATAACAGTTATTAAAATGTTGTATTATCACCATGAGCTGAATATGCTATGATATGTCTGTAACTCCTTTTCAATTGTGAGCATGTCCAGGAAAGCTGATTATAGGTATTGTCCTTTGTTAAAATGTATCTGAAGGGCATTGTGGTATATAATAGAAGAAATTCTGATGCCTGTAATCTCATTCCAAAAACCCAAGGTGCTTTGTGAGCAATGAAGCTCACTTGTGAGCATTTTTGCAGTATACTCACTTAGTTTTGTGACAGCCAGTTTGTGTTCAGCAAGGGGACCTGGTGACTTGTTGTGGAATTAATCTTGTCCAGGACCTTAGACTCTGTGAAAAGTGGGGTCAATCCCTGAACCTCTGAATGAGAGGTAAGATGCAATTGAGTTAACAAGGTTATATTCCATCACTGGTAGTGGCAGCAATAATTCAAGTTGATGCATTTAATGCTAGTTTTATGTCCCCTTTAAAAGACAATTACTTGACTTTAGCTTTGCTTGTAAGGGGAGAGAAATTGGGATTTTGCAAGAAGTTTGTCTTGTTCTGGACAAACTCCAATGTTACATGTCCACGTATGGGATATCCTCACTTTCCAAAGTACTCGCCTTTTTTAAATATAGCCACTTGGGATGTGCTTCTTGATTTTTCACAAGATCCAACCAACAGAGGTAAAAGATGTTGTTCAGCTTTAGTAATGGTGGTTGAATTGCAAATCTTAGCCAGGAGGTGGTAAGATCTCCCCTTTAAACTGCTGTACACTTTCTCAGTTGCACCCAAAATATCTTGTCAGATTTTAAAAATTTTAATCTGGATTGTAGTTTTTAAGCTGTACCAGTTCATTCAGTTGTGACATTTTTCTGCTTGAGACAACAAAAAATGTGTTGGGTTACCCAGAAACTAGCTGATTTGAGTTGCTGTTGGGAGTGAGGCTGTGCTCACCATCACTTGGAAAATATAGATGTGCACTTTTTCTTGATTTGTAGATTTGGTCAATTTATGGGAGAGGTGGGACAAAATGGTAATGTCAGTAGACTAATAATTCAGACAAAAACTGAAAGAACTGCAGATGGTGTAAATCAGGAACAAAAACAGAAGTTGCTGGAAAAGCTCAGCAAGTCTGGCAGCACCTGTGGAGGAAAAAGTAACGTTTCGGGTCTGAGGAATGGTTACTGGATCAGAAATATTAACTTTTTTCCTTCACAGGTGCTGCCAGATCAGCTGAGCTTTTCCAGCAACTTCTGTTTTTTGTGTGTAATAATCCAGAGGCCCCAGCTAATGATTTGTGATGTTAGTGGAATTTAAAATTTGTTAGTATTTATGAAATTGAAAGTTAGTCTGTTTCATAGCCATTATTACTATCACTGTACAAATCCTTTTAGTTCACTGTCCCTTTTTTCGAAGAAAATCTGTATCCTTACCTGATCTGGCCTACCTATGGCTCCAGCCCTATGTTAATATGGTGGCTTTTGACTGGCCTTTGAGATGGTCACTTAAAGGGTAGGCTACAAGTGCTGGCCTTGCCAATGAACCCATATCCCATGAAGAATAAAAGCTGGAGACAGCTGTGAGCATGAAAAAGTTGTAGGTGTGGAAGAAATGCCTGATTTGGAAAGCTTTTTGCTGCCAAATTATCATCTACACTGATGCTATCTTTTTCTATTTGTTGAAACTTTCATCTAGACTCTTACCATTCTTGCCTATTTTCACTTTGCACAAAATATAACTACTGCAAAGCACAACGTACTTGCCACATTTCTTCTGTCCGAACAAGTTGTAAAAGATTCTCTCATTTCCTCCCTTTAAAAATCCTCCATTGCTTTGACCTATGCTACTTTTTCCAGTGAACTAATCCAGCATCGGCCTACTCCACATTCCACATTGACAGCTGCTTCTTGAGCCACAGGAATGCAGGAGCTTTCTCTCAGCCTCTCTGTCCTACCACATCCCTTAATACTGCTAAGACTGTTCTCTGTATATGCTCCTTCAGTCTTTTACTTGTTATCTCCCATCCTAGAAAATGTTTTGAAGATGTCTTCATACTAGGATTCCTATAAAAATGTAAGTACTGATGCCAGTCAGCACTGCAACTAGTTTTCTTTATTGCATTTTGGTATCTGTACATTAAATTTAGTGATAGGACATGGACATTAACTTCAGGACTAAGCTTTAAAAAACAGTCTCTAATTTTGAGCAAAGATCACAATTGCTGAATTATGCTGTGCAGAAGGAGGCTGTTCGTCCCATGTCTTCAGGGGTTCTCGGAACACTTCGACAGGAGGGGGGAAAAGAGAAGTTTGGCACTACAATGATGTACCCTTATTATTCAAATAGAAACCATGCAATTTTGAATGTCTCAATTAAACACGTCCACCCCACTTCTTAGCAGTGTGTTCCAAACCAGACGATTTTGCTGTGTGCTACATATTTCACCTTTTTCTGATTTATTTATTTATTTTTTGTAAAACACTTTAACTGTGCCCCCTGCTCTCAATCCCTTTGAGAGAAGACAGTTTCTTTCTATGTACTCTGTTAGATTCCATGATTTTGCAAACTTTTATCCAGTCTCCCTTTGCCTTCTCTTGAAAGAGAAACAGTCCTAACTTCTCCAATCTGCCCCCTTAACTGAAGTATGTCATCCCTGGAACCATTCTTGTAAATATTGTCTGCACCCATGACAATACATGTGTCACCTTCCTAAAGAGTGGTGCCCAGAACTCTGTGCACAAGCTCCAGGTGTGGTCTAACATGTCCAGTATTGTTCAACAGAATCCCTGTTCTTGTATTTATTTTGCTATTAGAGGCCTAGAATATTGATGCTTTGAGTTAATTAAAAATAGAATATTGCAAATTTTCAATGGAACTTTCAAATGTTGCATGAGGAGCAGAACAAAGACTTGACTGAGGGGATTTTATTTTGGCCTTTCAGTCCAAAGGAAGGCCTTGCTTTCAAGGTACATGTCAATAGAATAAATGCTTGCATTTTTTTTGAAACCTCTATCTGATTTTGACTCTTAACAGTTTAGTTTAAAAGCTCAAAGTTTTAAACTAATGTCCTTGTCTTCCTCCACATCAGCACACATCTCATGTGGATGGCCGCTCAGAAGTTTCTTCTCGGCCAACCCGTTCTGGAGGCGCTCGATGCCGGAATTCAATTACGTCTTGCGTTGATGAGCAGCCACACATAGGAAACTATAGACTTCTGAAAACTATTGGCAAAGGAAACTTTGCCAAAGTGAAGCTGGCTAGACATATCCTTACTGGAAGAGAGGTAAGTTGGTCTGTAATTGTCTTATGACTATTTTATTCAGTCAGTGGAGATCAGCATACTAAATTTTCTTTTGTTACAGTTTATAACTTCTCATTCTAGTGTTGTCACATTTTTTATGACTCTCTCCATAACACACTTGTGAACCTCTGCTGGCCTTTAGGAAATCTGTATGATCTCTCTGGTATGCCTTTTTGTATTTCCTCTTGCTTTTGAGGAAGCGCATACCTTTTCACTTGAATCCTCCCATTTTGATTCACTTAAGGAAGCTCACCATGTGAAACCAGCTGAAGTATTTTCCTGTTCATTTTTTTTTTAAGTAAACACTCTCTCAATTATATTTCTATCTTCATGGGTTATAGGTAGCATACCTCTAAGTCATTGCCATAAAACAGTTTAATGAAAGAAAAATCTAAAATGGATCCTTTCTGGACCATCAGCTGACCTACAGCCTGCATATTCTGGCTATTACCAAGAATGCATATTTTCACAGCACTAACATTTACCATCATTTCCAACTCTCCTCAGACCCAACGAAACCCATGTCAAGGTTGTTGTGACCTTCAAGTTTAACTTCTCAAATGTTGCTTGTTAGCTTCAATGTCAAAGCTCAAACTTTAATCAAAAATCCACTACCTATATCCTATCCTGCATTAAGCACTTATTGCCCATATCCTTGTTTTACCTTGCTGTCCCCACACATTATCTTAAATTATCAAACCTGGTTAGAGTTCAGTGTGCAGTAACAGTGGTTATGTGACTGGACTATTGATTTGAGATAAGAAATTAAATCCTACATTGGCAGGTGGGGTATTTAATGCATTTATGTTAAATAACTGAGATAAGTTAAAACCATAATAGTAAAATGAAACTTCTGAATTGTTACCAAAATTTCTTTGGTTTATTTAGTGTTTAGAAAAATAAATCTGCAATCCTTATCTAGCCTGGCAGTCTTGTACCTAATTTCTGAAAGTTCTTTCAATATTGCATCTCGCTTAATGAGCTTTACTTTCTACACTTGCTGTTTCTGCCCACTTCGGATCACCACCATGTGTCGATCCTTCAGCTGTCTTGGCCTGCAGTCCAGAAATGCTGCCTGGAAATACCTCTAGCCTTGCTGCCATCTTTCTCTAACAGAAGCAACTACTCCAGTGTCTATCCTCCCTTAACCGTATCTGTTGCTTAAGGTTTGCTTGTATTCTTCTTTCTATGCTGTCTATCATGATCCTCTTACTATTTAGTGGCACAGTGACAATGTCGCTGAGCTTGTAATCTAAAATTCCAGGCTAATGTTCTGGGAACATAGGACCATAAGAAATAGGAACACGAGCAGGCCATTTGGCCCCTTGAACCTACTCTGCCATTCAATAGGACAATGCCTGATCCAAAATTCTTCACGTCCACTTTCCTGCTGTTTTTTCCTTGTTTGGTTGATCGAGAATCTATATATCTCAATCTTTAAATATGCACCAGGACTTCACCTCCCCAGCTGTCTGTGGCAGAGAGTTCCAAAGGCACTCTGCATGTATGCACACGCATTCCTAGAATTGCCCATGTTGGGGATAATAATTACAGCATTTACCCTTCAAGCCTTTTTGAAGCATATTGGATACCTATGAGATCATCTGTCACTTCTAAATTCCAACGAGCAGAGTTCCAATCTGTTCAACCTTATCTCATAAGGCAGTCCCTCCATATTGAGGATCATCCTAGTCCACCTTCTCCCAGCTGCTTCAGCAGTACCTTGTACAGTTGCAGCAAGACTCCCCTACTGTCGTAGTACAACCCCCTTGAAATGAGGGCCAACATTCCATTAGCTGTCTTGATGACTTGCTGCATCTGTATGCTAGCTTTTTGTTTAGTGCATTGCTTTGACACATCACTTCTTTAGTGATGGTATTTAATTCCTCCCTATATTCTAAAGAATAAATGGGATGTTTGAAGTATCTTCTGTTGTAAAGTCTGATGCCAAATATCTATTTAACTCCCGTGCCATTTCCTTATTCCCCATGACTGTCTCCCCAGATTCATTTTCCAAGGGGCTTATCTAATTAGTGTTCTAATGATTTTATCTAAAATCTACAGCACAAACAGGGCACAGTCCAATTGCTCTACTGTAGTAATGAGAAATCAATATCAAACTTGTTCATTTTTAACTATTTTGAATAGTCATGGTTTGATTTTTCAAAATTTTAATTCACTCTATTGCCTGTACTATTTCTTTCTGGCATAATAGTATTCCACAGTACATGAGGAAGCCATTGGATGGTCCTGGCTCTCTCTACAAGCTACATTTTAAAGCTCCATAGAAGTTCCATTCACCTTCATTTTGGTGTTTTGTTTTTTGGGGGAGGGGCCAGGGAAATATCTGCTTCCCTGTTTAGATATTACAATACTGTTTCGATCACTGGCAGAAGGTGCCATTTCTTAAGTGTTAATGTAATGGAGTACCAAAGTGGTTACACTGTAAAAGTACGTCATTGACTATAGAGTGCTTTGGGTAATGGAGATCTTTTGAAAAGTGCTGTGTAACTGCCAGTCTGTTGTGATGGATATTATTTTAAATTTATTTGATGCATGTTACTGTTAAATCTTTCCAGTGTGAAAAATATTTATCACTGATAAACAACTGGAATAAAGCACTTTCAGCAATAAATCCTACTTTATGAACATTGAATTGTTTATTTAAAATCAGGGTTTTTTGTTCTTGGATGGCTTGGAGTTAATCTCTAATGAATAATTGACCTCTACTGATAGGGATGGTCTCCAGCTCTGGTTCTGCATTGTTGGTTAACTTCTTTTTCATTTGGATTGGTAGTTGATTATTGGGTTTAAAAAGGGACAATAGGCCAGAGGTTTGGATGCAGAAATTTTGTGCAGATGTAATGAGGTAGAAATGTAATGTATCCTAATGATGTAATTATCTTATTCATGTGTTTCAATGCCTTGGCAAAACTGAGATGCTTAACATGTACGAATTGACTACAGAAGAATATACAAGAATTTAAATGATTTAACTATTTTATTGTGTTTAACTTCCTTCCATAATTTCATAAAATGAATTGATAAATGCTGATATACTAACTGCAGCAGCCTTTTCTGAACTTTCTTCCTAGGATAAGTATTGGACTCCATGATTTATGAAAAATATTTAATGCTTCTAATAGTACAGCAGATTCCATAAGAGGCAAAATCCTCAGATTCTCTCTCTGCACCAATGCTGCCAGCCCTGTTGCGTTCTCCAGTATTCTGTTACAAATTCAGTAGGACTCTGCCTCTGAGAAAATACCAATGTAAAGAAGGCTTCTGTTCATGAGAAAAGCCTGAGATTATAGGATGAAATGTTTGTAAATCTAATAGAATTGAAATTAGTAGACTTATTCTAATAGGTAATGAGTGTAGGGGCATATCTTTTAGATTTAGCAAAGAGACAGGAGAATACCACCTCTCAATTGTGAGACTTCATTTTGATTGCTACTTTGTTCTGCAATGTTCTAACCAAAACACGAGTTTAACCAGTATATTGCAAAACTTTGAAATAGCTTCAATAAACGTGTTTCCTTTATTTTTGGTATTTACTTCCCACGACTCTTTTCATTATGTCACTTTAATTATTTGATCCAGTTGCAATACTTTAAATGTAACTGCTCGCCTTATTGGCTACATTTTGTCTAAGTGTATAAATAATTGCATTCATTTTTCATAACTTTAGCTAGGGAAAAATTTTTCTGATGCTTAACACAACTTTGTACTAGTCTCAATATGCTGTTTGTACAGATTTTTTAATTGATCACCTCATCACTAGCTATTCAGAAATACCTGAGCATCATGAAGCTATGAATCAGTCTTGGAGCTTGTGTTCAATTTTTATCTTGGTTAAAATTTAAGAACTTGACCAGTACTAAAATCTGTCGTGTTTGCAATATAATTTTAAAACCAAAATTGAGAAGTTATTACTGACTTACTACTGTATTCTTTGGTTCCTAACTTTGGTACATAATTCAAAGATATTGGATTTAAAAATCAAGCTTTTAATTCATTACCTCTTATTCTCTAGGTTGCAATAAAAATTATTGACAAAACACAGCTGAATCCCACCAGTCTGCAAAAGGTAAGGACTTTGTGTATTTTGTTTCAAGCACGTTTTCTTTGAATTCCTTTTTAAAGTTTGTATTTGTGCTTCATTAACCTAATGTGACTAGGAATCTGAATGTAGCTGAAGCTACATAAACGAACAAGCCTTCAATAAGTATTAACAGGCCAGTTTGGTTTCTTTATTTTAAAAGAACCTAAGTACAAGGTTTAAAAGCAGAGATGCTTTGCAGGAAAAAGGATATTTGTGGTACTGTAAGTGTTTTTGATTTGTTATTTTGTCTGTGACAGGTGATGAAAGTTTTTGTTCAAATGGCATGTAACTATTGCCAGCAACACAAGTTATTGCCCACACATAATTGCCCTTTGAGATGGTGACTCCTCACCTTGAATCAATGCAGTTCAATTGATGGAAGTATGCTCAGTCCTGTTAGGAAGGTAGTTTATCTTTTTAATCAGTGACTGTGAAGCAGCAATCTGCTTCCAAGTCAGGTAGGGGAGTGTGGGAGCCACATGTGGGTGGACAGATAATCAGATCAGTATGTATTTATGTGCACAAATCACTTATTTTAGAGTTTGGATTTTGAAGTACTGGCATGTGCATTTTGCTCTGAGTGTTTAATGATTGAGTAGTGTGTATTTCTCAAGCATTTTTTAAATGCCTGTATTAGAGAATCATCCTGAGGTTGATCATGGAAGTTTGTTTGCATTGAGTTTTGATTGGATAGTAAACATTTCAGTTAGAATTTTTATTTACTGGGAGGTGGTGTATAGCTTGGGAGTCTTTAGTTTCAGTTTGCAGAAGTCCTGGTAAGAGTTGATGTGAAGACAGTCTCCTCCTGAAGAATGGTTCTAAACTATCTCCTACAGGGAAGTGTTACTTCAACATAGGAATTTTTAGATTGAAAATTCCAGCATAGGAGTGTTTGGTTAAACTTTGAAGGTGTTATTTAAAGCTGGGAAAGCCTATTCTTGGGTGAGTAATCAATGAAAAGACAATCAAGCTCTCAAGATCAGCAATTTGAAGTAACTGTTAAGCCATGCCGATAGATGGGAGAGAAGAATTTTTCTGGTGTTTGAGGTGACAGGGTTGGGATAGATGGATTGTATTTTACCTTGTCTCAATCTATCAAACTGAAGTGTAAATTTGCTCTTCTAGTTTACTTGAATTTATTTTATGTAATAAACTTGTTTAAAACCAGATCCACAACATTGCATGCTTGTGTTTCTGTGAAAGGCCACTTGGTTTTTTTAAACAATGTATCAAGCCGAATTTCAGTTCTAGGTTCTGACTTGTTCAATATAACATCCAGTAGGGGTCATAAAAGCAAGATGGATAGAGGGGAACCTGTATGATGAGGTCTACTTGGATTTCAATATTTATTTGCTAAGTACCAGTTCAGAAGTTTCTACACCAGAAAAGAGCACATGGTGGAAGGGGTAACATATTAACATGGATGAAAGATTGGTTAATTAACAGCATGCGATAACTTGGCTCCCCAAAAAGGCCAATTTGTATCTGTTGGAATGCTACAGGGATCCGTGCTAGGTCCTTGACTATTCAGAACTAATATCAATGACTTGGGTGAAGTGACTGAACATATAATCTTGCTGATCCCAAGATAAATGGGAAAGTAAGTTGTCTAGAGCAGGTAAAGATTCTGAAAGGGGCATGTGTAAGTGAAGTGGTGTACACATTTGGCTGACATACAAAGGCAAGGTAAAGCTGCCATAGTCCTACTGGACCATAGGGCTGCTGTCCTGTTAGAGGACTGGTGGTGGTTTAACCAAAGTGCAAGAGGTGGAGGAGGAGAGTCCTTTGTGGTAACTTTAGCTTGTGCAGGAATTGAACCTATACTATCAGCATCGCTCTGCATCTCAAACCAGACATCCAGCCAAACTGAGCTAAGCATGGCCCATGTGCTACAATTTTGGAACTTGTGAACTTTTCAATTTTGAAAACTGAAAAACAGTATGCAATCTCAGTGGAGAGAGATGAGAGCTCTGATACAGATTGATCTGGGAGTCCTGTTACATGAATCACTACATGTGTAGTTACCACCAGTTATTGGAACAGTGGAATGTTGACATCTATTGCAAAGAGAAATGGAATCTAAAAGTAGGGATGTTTTGCTGCTGTGTAGGGCCTTGGTGAGTTCACATCTGTGTAGTTTCGGCCTCTTTATTGGAAGAAGATATAATTTCACTCAAAGCAGTAAGGTTTACTTGATTCCTGTGATGAAAGACTTGGCTTGTGAATGAAGGTGGGGTAGTTGGGTCGATACCAATTACAGTCAAGAAGAATAAAATGTGACTTCTATTGAAAGATCATCCTAGGTGGGTATTAGGAGAATGTTTCCTCTTTGTGGGTGGGGTGGGAAGACTAGAACAAGGCAGGAAAAATTGTGAAAATAAGAGGTGTCCTTTTTAGGAATAAGTTTGTTTTTATTTCTTGTTTTTTTAATATTTAAGGTCATTTGTTTGTGGAATTTGCTTCCCCAGAAAGCATTGGATGCTGCATCAGTGAATTATTCAAGGCTGACTTAGATTATTACTTGGGGAACTAAGAATTATGGGGTGCAGTCGGGAAACTGAGTTGTCCACAGATCACATTGCGCTTGCTCTGCCAGTTCGAGAGCCAGATGACCTGTTCCTGCTCCTAACAAAAAGATTGCTGGAAAAACTCAGCAGGTCTGGCAGTGTATTTGGAGAGAAATCATTATTGTTTTGGTTTGTGGCCCTTCCTCAGAACAGGTCCTAACACTGTTCCCATGATGGGAAGGCTACATGCAGGTGTTTGGTATTCTTGTGTATCTACTGCCGTTGCCTTTTCTGTATAGTAGAAGTTTTGGTTTGTAAGGTGCTGTTGGAGGAGAATTAGTTGCTGCAACCACCATGTATTGGCAGTGGTGGGTGCAGTATCAATGAAGTGTGCTGCTCTGTCCTGAGTGGTATCAAGCTTCAAATTATTTCAGAGCTGCAATCTCCTGCTGAAGGGGAGGGTGTTCAGTCACGCCTTCTTCCTGCCTTGTAGTTGACTTGCTTTTGTAGTCACTGTATTTGAAGAGCTGGTCCAGTCCAGCTAAGTTTGTGGTCTATGAAATAGCCCATGTTGCTGCTGCCACCATTTTTTAAAAAAAAGTTGTTTGGAAGTTTAGATTCTTTTGTTCGAAATAAGTGCTGGGCAGCAACTGTGTGGCATTAATGTTTTTCTTCTGCCTAACAGACCAAGCCATGAATGTGCCCCAGTTTTGCTGCATACTGTCACAAATGGCTTCAGTATTTGAGGAGTTGCAATTGGGATTAAACAGTGTAATCATCAGCTATTGTTCCACAAACTTTGATAGAGGAAGGTCATTGAAGGACCTAAAACTGGGCCTTGGATGTTACTTTTAAGGACCTAGGGAACTTGTGGCAGTGGTATTGCCCCCACTCCTGAAACAGGAGGCCTGATCTCCAGTCCCCCTGTTCCATAACTATGTAATTGCCTATTTTACATGTTTGATTGGACTGAGTCCTAAGTGTAATAGTGGCCTCAATTCATTCCACCTGTTCGATTACATTTCTGAACAGATTCTCTTAGAAAAGATCTACCCTGAAGATCTAGGGTCCATGTGGTATGATGGTAGTTGAGATGATTGGTCGTCAAGCATAAATATTTCAGTTGCACTGTATAATACCCTGGTTTCTGAAAATCAGGAGGTAGTCACACTCACCTCTTGAATTCACTTGTATAATCCAGGTTTGGTTGAAGGCTGTAATGAGGTTGGTACAGAATGACCCCCAATGGAACTCAAACAGAACATTGAGTACTGTCGTTGCCTTTCATGAATTTCCTGATGAGTAGACTCCATGATATTGGCTGATTGTCCTGCCCAAAAAGCAGATGACTCCATAACTGGGAAATTTTCCACACTGGGTATTTACCAGTGGTGTAGCTACAACAGAACAATCTGGGTAAATTTTAGTACAGCAACTGAGACATTGGATACAGCATAGATTATGGACCATGACATCGTGCCAACCATTTCTTGATGTCCCAGAGAGAATTGAATTTGCGTAAGTGGCAGTTGTGATGCCTGGGTTCTAAAGAGGAGGCCAAAATACATCTACTCAGCAGTCCTGGCTGAAGATGGATGTGGATGCATTAGCCTTGACTTTTTTTAATATACTTTGAGCTTAATGTTGCAGGGTATAGATCCTATAGGAAAGATCAAAAGAGGGCAAGAGGAGGGAGAGTAGCATTTTTGATTAGGGATAACATTAGAGCTCCCTTTTTAGGGAAGATATTTCTGGGAATACTTTGAAGTTGGGTGGAACTGATGTACTAGAGACCCCACCTCCCCAATAGTCAGTGGGAAATTGAATTAAATTTATAAGGAGATCTGCTATCTGTAAGAATAATAGGGGGATTTTGGCATTCCCAGTGTGTTTGAAAAGTTAGTGTTAAGGGTTTAGATGGAGAGGAATTTGTTTCCAAAAAAATTGATTCAGTATGTGGATGTCCCTATTAGAGAGTGCAAAACTTTCCCTACCCTTGGGAAATAAGGCAGGGCAGGTAACTTGGGTGTCAGTGGGGGAAGCACTCTGGTGGCCAGTGACCATAATTCAATTAGTTTTAAAGTACCTAAAAGTTAAAGCTCAATTTTGAGGAAGGTCATTTTAACAGTATTTAGCAAGAACTTTCAAAAGTTGGGGACTGGATGTTCGCATGTAAGGGGATGGCTAGAAAATGGGAAGCCTTCAAAAATGAGTCAAGAGATAGTATGTTCCTGTTAGTGAAGGGTAAGGCTGATTGGTGTAGAGAATGTTGGGTGTTTAGAGAAATTGAAGTTTCGGTCAACAATAAGGAAGCATATATCAAGTATAGATGACCAATTGAATGATTCCTAGAGTATAAAAGCAGTAGGTGTAGACTTAAGAGGGAAATCGGGAGCACAAAAAGGACAATAGCTTTGGCAAATAGGATTAAGGAGAATCCAAAGGGATTCTACAAATGTTTAAGGACAAAAGGGTAAC